AGCCTTTTTTCATCATCAGAAATGCATGCAAAGTGTTTTCCATGTATTCAAATGGACCCGGTACACCAGCGCAGTCAGTTCCAGATTTCGCGTGAAGGAAACAATGGTAGAACGTGCCGCATTATGCTCATGATAGGATCTATAGTGACTACAACCAGAAAAGACAGGTCATCTCAACACATACTGGCTCTCTCTGCTTCTGCTCTCTCTATTCCTCTCAAAATGTCTGAAATAGTTAATTTTTTACTGTTTTTCAGTGCATTCTGGGCATTTGGGAAGGTCTCCTGAGGTTATCTTTTAAAGCGCTTCAAAACGCAAACGCACATAAACGCAGTATGCAAACGCGGCTAAACTAACATTTTTTGACCTACATTTTCCAGCAGTCAGTTTCCATAATTCAGAAGAGTTTTCCAAACGCCCCGTGTACATGAGCCCTTAGGAATATTCCCCTTCACTTCCTGTCCCATAGTCACAATAGGAAGTAAGAGAAAATCCCTTCAAAGTGAGGGGAACGCTGGTTGTCCCCATTAACCACTTAATGTCCGGACACATTCATCGCCTTCCAGCCCAGGCCAATTTTCAGCTTTCAGCTCTATCACACTTTGAATGACAATTGCTAAGCCATGCAAATGTTTATCATATTTTTTCAGACAGAGCTTTCTTTTGGTGGTATTTGATCACCAATGGTTTTTTTTTTAATTTTTTGCTATATAAATGAAATAATACCGAAAATTTTGAAAAAAAATCACTTTTTGCTTAGTTTTCGTTATAAAATTTTGCAAATAAACAATTTCTCTTCATAAATTTAGGCCAAAATGTATTTTTTTTACAAAATTTTTTGGGGTAACAATAACTCAAACAAGTGTATATTATTTAGTCTGTGTGAAAGTTATAGAGTCTACAAACTATAGGATGTATATTTGAAAATTGATCAGTTGAGACCCTAAAATTCCAGACGCTGGTATGATGTATGGCAGTGATCAGGACGCTGGTATGGAGGTGATCAGGATGCTGGTATGACGTGTGGCAGTGATCAGGATGCTGGTGATCAGGATGCTGGTATGACGTGTGGCAGTGATCAGGACGCTGGTATGCGGGTGATCAGGATGCTGGTATGACGTGTGGCAGTGATCAGGATACTGGTATGGGGGTGATCAGGATGCTGGTATGACGTATGGCAGTGATCAGGACGCTGGTATGGGGTGATCAGGACACTGGTATGGGGTATGGTGGTGATCAGGTTGCTAGTATGGTGTATGGCGGTGATCAGAACACTGGTATGGGGTACGGTGGTGATCAGGTTGCTAGTATGGGGTATGCGGTAATCAGAACACTGGTATGCAGTATGGTGGTGATTAGGATGCTCATATGGGTTATGGCTTTGATCAGAACACTGGTATGGCGGTGATCAAGACGCTGGTATGGTGTATGGCTGTGTTATTGTGAGCACTGGGACAGGTGACAGGCTGGCTTCATGTTTATTATTGACTATAATGGGCAGTGATCAGGGACACTGAGACATTAATCAGGGACACTAGGGTGGCTTGCACAGCAGTCCATGAGTGTACAAGCAGCCTGACAGGCTCTCACAGTGAGAGCAGAGAAAAGTGATCTTTACTTTCACTTTCAGTGTTTACAATGTGATTGCTGTGATTGGTCACAGCAATCACATAGTAAAGGTAAAACACCATGTGATCGTCCAGACACAACTGTAATGTGATCTGATGTGTGCGAGCGATATACCGATCGTCAGGCTCCCGAGTGCGTGTGCATGTTATCCCGCATTGGCACAATTTCCTGTCCGCCATCTATAGCAATGGGTGAACAAGAAGCGGTTACAGATTTCCCCTCTATTCCTGTTCTGGTGATTTTCTTTCATGGTCCAGGATAAATCTAAACAGGATAAATAGAGAGGGGAAATCTATGTAAGGGCTTGCTTTTGTTTTATTTGGCTCCCATTCAGCAGGGGATCGGTTCACGGATCTTTGGGAGATCAGAAAGGCACCATCCATGTGCAAGGGCCCTTCTTCCCTAAAAACTTTATTTCAGCATTGCAGAATTCACCTCGTTCTCTAGGGACAGCAGGCTAAACTTTGTATTATCACATAGTGGGGTCAGAAGTCGGACGCAGTAACAATGTAACGCAGTAATGAATTAGAAATAAGCACATTACGACACTTTGTTGCCATTATAAATACTAGTAAATCACAAATCTGGTTGCACAGAGAAGTAGAACATTCCCCATCTCCTTTATAATCACTGTGTAAATGTTAAACAGCGGCAGAGCAGCTGCGGGTACCCGAAGGCGGAGGACCCGACGGTAATCAGTTATTAACTCGGAGGTGACAGTTCTGGCAGCACGTCCGTTCTTCTCATGTGCTGATCTGAGACGGGTGAATATGAAACCCCCTTTGCATCACTCTCTCCATATACATGTGCTGCACGTTCTACGCCCTTCCAACACATGCTAATCAGACTGTATAACGTGCTGCAGGAGAGACAGGCGTGGAGCTCCGTCTTTCATGGCACGTTCATACTTCTTACTTTATCAGAACCAAAATGCATTCTGTTAGTGCTCAACGGCCCCACGTCATCATGCTGCACTTGCACTTAAGGTGTGCTAACTATTATAATATTCTGGACTATTGCTCCCTGTGGTAGCTATCTTTATGCTGGACAGCACAATCAGCACTCCTACTAAATGACTTCAGAGAAAATCAGTTGCAGAGTAAAGCATCAAGAGATCATATTGATTCCCATGAATCTCTAAAAGGCGATGCACAGACGTTAAAGCGGAGCTCCACCCAAAAGGGGAAAGCCTTTGTCCCCCGTTCCCCATCAAGGATTGGCACCTTTGGGGAGCGGGGGGGGAGCGGGTTCCCGAATTTGATAGTTACCCTCTCCCACTTCCACTGCGATCACCTAGGCAATCGGAAGCGGAAGTTGTCCTCCCCCTCTCCCTCCCTGTAGTCTTCTGGGGCACGGGACAGGTCCCACAAGACTATGGGGGCCATTCACAAAGCACAGCGCTTCTCGCGCATGCGCAGTGGTCACCTGGCTGTGAAGCCACAAGCTGTCACAGCCGAGTGCCCACACTGAAGATGCCGGCACCAGGGAGAGAAGACGGCCGGTGAAACCAGCGGTGCTGAGGACACCGCTGGACCGAGGGACAGGTAAGTGACTGTATCTTAAAAGTCAGCAGCTATAGTTTTTGTAGCTGCTGACTTATTTTTTTCAGGTGGAATTCCGCTTTAAGAACAATAAAGGACAGTCACAGGGCTACTAAGTGGGATGTGCCAGATCTCTGCAATGAGACTAGTATTATTATTATACAGGATTTATATATTATTATTATTATAGAGGATTTATATCGCGCCAACAGTCTGCTCAGCGCTTTACAATATAACGGGAGACAATACAGCAACAACACAGTTCAATACAAGGCGAATTTGAGGGCCCTGATCCTGGGAGCTTACAATCTAGGAGACTACTGCTTCATCACAGAGAGCAAGCTGCTGGCAGGGGGTAGGCTTTTCTACTCGGGCTGTGGCTGTTTTGGAAAGACAATAAACTGGAAGACATTGAACATGTTTTGTTTTGGAATGTATTTGTCATATTTAAACTTAAAGTTCTATTGGATGTTTCAAAAAAAGGCCTTTATAGTATATCCAAAGCCAAAACATTTTTTTTTCATGTAGGATAGGGTAGCAATTGGTTCAAACTGAACTCTGAGATAAGCACATATTGTCTAAATACATTCATCATGTGTATTCTTCTTGAATCTCAGTGTACTTTGTGTGTTTTTTCCAGATCTGTGCAGTATTCCAGTGTGAGACTTTCCTTCTGTGCAGGACCTTCCTGTAATACAGACTGCTCACTGCTGCTCTCTTTGTAGAGGGTGACTGATCTTATCTCTGCCTCCTTCTGCCAGAAAGCACAGCTTTGCTGCAGACGTTGGTGGAGAAAAGTCTTTCAACATGTCCCTTAGAGGGAAGTCGATTAAACAATCGATTCTGTTGAGAGGGACTGCCACACCACACATTGATCTAATTTTTTGGCCGATCCCGACCAAACCAGTTGAATTTTGATAAGAGAATGGCTAGCTTTAGGGTGTAACATGAAACATGGTCAGTACTCTGCTCCCCACCCACAAACACCCCCCCCCCCCCCTTACAGAATCCGGGGATTCTACTCCGTGCCAGCTCCTATCATTTTTTTTAATTTACTGCGACTATGCATGGAGCTGCATCATCCATTCAGGAAGATCTATGAATGGACAGACTACAAGCCCCATCTTCCATTGTGGCAGGACTTGTAATTCTAAATGTAGTTCTTGCGCAGTGACTTCACCACTCTTGTGGTCCATTAATACTATCTCAAAAAAAATGGAAGGTTTGTACTTCAGTGTGGACCTGCAGCTGGAAGGATAGTCCATAGGAGCCAAAGCAGTGCAGCCATCATCCACAGATTGCAGATGCTATACTTTGAAGGCTCAAATGCGAAAACGCATACATGCACATTTTTTTCTTATTAATCAATGTGGGTAACTTTATTCATCTTTTGCAAAAAGTGAAATATTACTCTTTTACATTTCTTTTTAAATGATAAAAACCTTATTTCAGGTGTTTCCCACCACCATGTACATTGCACATAAGCCGTTGTGATTAAACTCTCCTTAGCCTCCTTTAGTAAGAAGAAAAAAGAGTTTAATAGGAATGAGAAAGTTGGGAAAGCTTTGCGTTGCTTCACCGTACCCTGCGGCCGCAGTCAGCGTCTGATTAATACTGAGATATCTTGTAAGCAGCTTCTAAAGAATGGCAAAGCTGTGCTTGAGATCTATGTAGATCAGCCTGTCAGGCCAGTTCCTCCTCCTAGTACAGAGGAAGTTTCTGACATCAGCAGAGAGCTGATAAAAAACAGGCAGAGCTGGGACTGAGACAGGAGTGTGCTAGTCACTAGTGAGGAAGGCAGAGCAGCAGCAGGAGCCCAGACAGCCCATAATGAAGGAGCATTGCTCTTCTTACAGCACTGTGTGTCTGAGCTGCGGCACTCCTGAGCCCACCATGCAGAGCCTGGAGCCTGACTACATGTCAATGTGCTTGTTTGCAGAGGACTCCTACCAAAAACTAGCTATGGACACCTTGGAAGAGCTGGACTGGTGCTTGGATCAGCTGGAGACCATTCAGACCTACAGATCAGTCAGCGAAATGGCATCAAACAAGGTGAGAAGAGGTCTCTTGGTTGGCTAAAAAAAAAGTTTTTGTTCGAAACTTGGGTTGAAAAAAAAAAAAGTTATGGTGTATTTGTTTAACGACCTGAAAACCAATTATCGTCCCGGCTAAACTTTCCCCAAAGAAGAATGCAGAAGGCTTAGAATGTAGATGATCCCCTTTATTGGCTTTCAAGCTTTAAGAATACCCTAGATCCCCTCTTATATACTTCTTTATTTATTGTATTATATTATTTATATATTTCTTAATGCCTAAAGAAGGGAACTAAGTTATCCCAAAAACCATAATAACTTTAATGACTTAAACTCCAAACCTTTTGCATTCTTCTTTGGAGAAGGCTTAGCTGAGAATGTCTTTCAGGTCGTTAAAAAAGAACTATCTTTATATTACTGGCCCGTGCATTAAGTAGCTTTACCTTTGGCTGTTGTAGAACTTCAAGTACCAGCAGACTTCGGATCCGTTAAGCCTTTTAGTTCTGCAACAGACGGAGAATCGAAAATTATACTGTTTAGCTGGCTAATGAGGTTTTCTATGTTCTATTTAAAACTAATATTTTTTTTCATTTCTTCCAAATATAACTGAATGAAATAGAAAGCCTTTATTGGCATTATAAAAACATACAACTAAATTTAAACGCTTCACCTCCAATGGTCCTACACACAACCTTAATCTTTTCTTTCAGTACAAGATTTTTTTTTATACAAATGAGTTCACCATGGTATCTTACACGATTGGTGGGTTTATTAAACAGGCAAAGGGCACTCGCCTACAGACATCAAAGAAACCTTAATGCATGATGCACACTGGGTGCTTACTAATATCCTTTTGAGTAGGGCTTGTTCACACCATGTCTGTTGAACTGCATTTCTCTGCACACTACCACAAATGTATGGTGTGAACAGTTGATTTTTATGTGCCCTGTTCATCATACATGTGCAGTGGTGTGCAGAAAAACACAGCTCAATGGACATGGTGTGAACAAGCCCTAAAACCTAGTGTGCGTAACGTGTCATGGTCGCTTTGTGGATCCTAATATATGATGTGGTTGCAGGTTTTAGTGGGACCAGGCAAGGTCCAAGATCCCTTGTGCACTTTACAGAGTGAAAGTTTGAGCCGGGCTCGTATGAAATACATAAAATCAGCTACAAGATTTTTTTTAAATTATTATTCAAACAATTGCATGTATTATTACCCAGTTTTACTGCCTTTCCTAAAGTGATCATGTAATATTTGATTTACAAAATTAAACCGGCATTAGATATTACTGGATTACGGAAAACTCTATGGTTGAATCATAAAGTGTTAAGTCATAATTCAAAAGAACAATAGGTGCAAATGTTCAACTTTACTGTTGGTTTCAGAGAATACGTATGCTGAAGTATAGCATTTTGCACATTCAGTATGTTCGCATAAGGGGATACAGCTAATGATGAGGGTTACAATTTATTTACAATTTAAATTGGTTCAAGAAATCAAACATTTCCTTGGTTAAAATTTTGTGCTGCTTTGATTTGGTGAACGTTAATGAAACTGATAGATTAGTTACTATGTATTTATTTTATATTACTTTCTGCTTTTAGTACAATTTTCCTTTTCCCTGATAATGTAATATGGTTGTGTCTCTGGTTTGTGCAATATATTTGATAGTTGTGAATAGCCATTTTACTTTACTTGTACTTTTTACAGATAAAAACTGTTATGTGCCCAACTAGCTTCTGAACTCTGGTACTGCAGGAAAAGGAGTCTTTTGGGGCATATTGTGGATAAAATAGTAATCTTGATACTACAAATCCAAGCACTGCCCTTGTTCATATAAAAATGTGGCTCTCTAGTTAACATTGGCCACTTTGCAAAGCATGCTGGGAGGTAGAACTTTACAACAGCTGATTCTTGATGTGAACAAAGAAACTCCATACAAATATAGAGCCTTACTTGTAGACGTGAGCTCATCATTGCCCGCTCTGGCATATTTCATCCGGATCGGGCAATGGGTGCTAGGTTCATGGCTGGGGCAAGTAGTTGGTATGGGTTTTATGAGCTGATTGTTTCCGCAAAGATCAAGCTAGCATTGGTGGTGTCTGCACATGCTGCTTCACTGCAAACTTAGACAATGACTATACTTGTCCATGCAGATGGCTAACAGTTGGACTGTCATGACATTTGCTATCTTTTGTCTGTAGTTTTAGTGAAGTACTGTTGATGCACACTGGATGCATCTAATTAGCTTGTCTGTTGAGTTTTTGAACATTGATTGGATGTGTAGAGCCTTGTCTGGCCAAGCTACTGTTGTTTTTCCAGCTGCTGCAGAACAATTGCAGTGTGTCCTTTATAGGTTATGATGTGACCTGTATTATGGGATTTGCAGAGGGGGCTACCTTAGACCACTGTATAATGCCCAAATTCTTTTGGTAAAGTGATGAAAAGGTCCATAGATTGTGCCACGTTGTATGTTAGCTGTTTGCCTGGAGTTCTGTTTTCATTTAGTTCTCTTGTAGGTTGGTAGTGGTCAGTAGGTAACACAACTGGGTGGCTTGTAGGAAGCCACTTTTAAATTAAAAATAGGAAACAATTTGTGGAACTAAAGAAAAGCAGAAATAGAACTTCTGTTCTGCTAATTACAAGTCAGCGTTTGTGGATGTGGTGTACTTTCTTCCTGTAAACATGTTCCCATCTTTTTCTTGTCACATGTCAACTTTACATCCAACAAGTTGCCAATGTTGCAAATGTAAGCAAAAAAAACTAATTACATCTAGTTAAATATAATCTTTTCTGCACAAAAAATATTTTTGCTCCAATCAAATGATTATGACGCTTTCTGAAATGCTGCATCTTATAGTAGGATATGAGTAGGTCACAGAAAACATGGATGAGACAATGGCCACACTTGGCAACATGTAAAGTGACAAAGGCCATTATTAGAGTTTATGTACACATAATGAAGTTTGGACAGCTTGTGCATGGAGTGTGAATGGACTGTGCTCTTGCAAACGTTTCCATAATGTTGCACTGTTAACTAGTAAATTACTTAATAACCCATTGCAAACCTAGTACAAGGAACAATTTAAACAAAATTAATATATTTTCTGGTTTAGTTAAATTTCCTATCTAAGTCTTATTAATGTATTTAGAGATTCCAGTTTTGTACTTAATGATAGTCATAACTTGTACTCTCGGGCTTGTTACATCTTGAAAAACTAGGAATTAATACATGAACGTATAATTCTGGCTCTGTTTGAGGCAGCTGTATCAGTTGAGAAACCTGTGTCCATTGTATACAAGCTGGACATGGCTTCTTGGGTCTTGAGATGGTTCAGCAGAAAGATGGCTGTTAAAGGGTCAGTCCAACCAAATGGGATATTTTAATTATAGGTAGTGCCTTGTAAGTGGAGTTATCCCTTGGATTCCTATGCGTTTTGGATACTCCAAAAGCAAGATTTCCCTGATGTAATTACCAACTCCTGTCACCTGGGAGCTTCTGGTGTTCTTGCCCACCGTTGGGAGTTCCAGCACTCTGCATAATACAAAAATATAGGGGAGTGGGTGTTCTTCTTAATGGACACAGTAGGTGTGCAGACACAGGAACCTAGGGTAGAGATCTCATCAACAGAATCCCCGAGAAAGAACAAATTGTGAGGTGGGGGGGGCTTAATTTTCCAAGATCTACCTGAAAATGTTGGGTGTTCCTCCCATCCTTGTGTGTTCCAGCTACTTCTGTTACATTCTGCATTAAATAAAATTTATGGAGATTAAATACCCTTGTAATGAGCAAAGCGGGTTTGCAGACCTGTGAAGTCAGTGAAGCGATCAAACTAAAAGAAAAAAACTGTTAGTGTGTTTTAATCTCCAATATCTACTGAATACTAATATGTGGACTTAGTCTATAAAGTAGACATACAGCGTAAGACAACAATCCCATCCTGATCAACCTGCCCTTTTATGAGTTTACAAAAGTCTTGTTATACTTATATGCTGGGATCATGTGATCAGGTACCCCGTAATTTGGTCATATGATCTCATTGAGTGGGGGTCAGAGTTTAAGGAAAAATACCGAATGATTGTCTCTACCTGATGATCAGTCTCCAAACATCAGCTGTAGGTATGCAAAGGAGTATATTCAGGTGACTAAGTATGGGTTCCAGTGGCCTGTAAGTAGGTTGGCCACAAATGGACAGATTCTATCCCACATTTAGGCATTGCCTATGATGATCTGGAAAGGACAGGACCATGTAAGTCTAATCTGTGGCATGACAATGAGTGCCTTTGTCAGAAACAGACATTTGCAGCTTGGCAAATAGCTGAACACCAAAGATGTTCAACTCCAGCCAAGTTTTATTGCAATGACTGCACAACACTCACTCCTACCCAAAACTATGCCCCCAACATGTTTCACCCACAGCAGGGCTTAATCATGGGGATCTCCATGATTAAGCACTGTTGTGAGTGAAACATTTTGGGAGCGTGGCTTTCTGTGGGGGAGTGAGTGTTGTGCTGTCATTACAATAAAACTTGGCTGGATTTGAACATTTTCGGTGTGAGGCACATTATTTGGATGGTGGACTACAGTGGAGCAAAAGCAGTCTCCAGGGCCTTGGCACCCTTCTGATTGCCAGGAATCGAGGAGGATATAGGATGGCTGTGAGTGGTGAAAGGGTTGGGTTCGTCTTGGCAAATAGTTGTTTACAGACTGTCACTAGAGAAATTAAAATCTTAATTTGTCTGCCATTTTTTGATCTTTTTGCATGTCTTATTAATCATCTTAAACTCTTCAGACCATTAGTAAACAATATGCATCATTTTGATATTATCTGGTACCATGGCATGCATGTTTTTGGTAAAGAGCACTGTCACTGTTTATACAGCCATCTTCTACATGAAAGATTGTCAGTTTGGGGCATCGTCCCCGATTCTGTCTCATATTTGTGAGCAGCTCTGGAATCTGATACCAGGAGGCCCTGAACAATGTGGAAACAGACAATTTTTTGGAATCCTTT